GGTCACCTCCCTCTCGCGCTCGCTCTGCCCAGCCCCTCGCGCTTCTCCCCGCCACTTGCTCCCCCAGACCCACTCCCAGGGATCCGCCTGTCAAAAAATGCCCCCGCCGCAGCTTCCCCTGCCTGCTAAAGGCGGCTTCCCCCTCCCACCTACGGCCCTCCCAGCCGCCCCACAATACCCCCCGCCAAAAAAAATGCTTCCATGTCGTTCCCCCACACACACGCCGTCTGCCTCCCCCTCAGACCCAAGGGGGCTCCCTTTCTCTCTTCCCCTCGCCTCACTTTGGGGCTCGGCCACACGTGCGGTTTTTTTAAAGCCGCCCTGTTATTGCCTGAGTACTTGCCCCGAAGTATATGTACTCAGCACTAGGCAGCGAGGTAATTGCTTCTAGAGGCCAACAGGTGTAGGATGGGCTTCCCACCTGTTTGCTGCCTGCCTGTGGACTCAGGCATAGGTGGTCCCATTGCCATACAACAGTACTGAAAAGGATCAATCCTTAATGCTCCAAAATACATACATTTTAGTACATTGGTGGGCTGACGTTTTTAGGCACAACCGGTAGGAAATGTGGCATTTTGATTATTGGCATGTCTGGCCCAAACCCCTTGCTGTATGGACCACTTTGCTTACCTTGTAGCCCTGACCCATCCCCCACACCTCCCAAACTCCCTCCCCCTACTTCCAAGCCTCATGCCTGCCAACAGCTTCCTCTTTACACCTGTAACTCCTCCCATTTCCAGGTCTGGCCAAAGAATAACCTTCTCCTGCACCCTCTTCTCTTTCACTGGGTATCTCCATGTGAAACTCCAGTCGGCATTACCCCTCCCACCAGTGGTTTCCTGTTTGCAGAGTCCTGCCTAGGCCTTTCTAGATAGGCAGGCTCTCTCCTGCTCCAATAGCTCTTAACAGTTTCTTCTGTCCCCGTGTATGTGGCCTATCAAGTCCTGTGCTGCCTAGTGTTTTATCCTCATGTGCAGGCCCTTTCCTCAAGTACCTGGGTTTCTCAAAACTCTTGCTGCTCATCCATTCAGCAGATCCCATACACACCTTACACAATGATTGTCCATGCGTTCTGTTGCTCAGGGGCCTTGGTCCACTCTGTTCTCCCCAGGAGAAGAGGTCTCCATAGTACTCTTTCCCCCATGCACCAACATTTATACCATGCCACTTTCCCCCATGCACCAACATTTAGACCATCCTCTCCCATGCTGCTGTTCTTTCACAAACGGTTATTCTTTCCTCTCTTGTTTCCCCTTTTCCCCCTCAACACCATTTACTTATTTACCCTGTGCCAGCAGGTTCTCCAAGTTTGTGTGTAGCCCGAAGACATTCGTTTGAACACATGCTTCCTCTCCTGCTGCTTCTTCCCCCAAACCTGGTATTGGCTTATTGAGTGTCCTGGGTTCCTAAGTCCTCTTCTCATTTAAGTTGTTCCAGAAGGAGTTTGAGAAGCTGATCTAAGCCATCTTCTTGACTTCTTGTCCTCCCCCCCCCCCCCCCCGCCTTTTGTAGTTTAACAGCTTGGTGTTTGATAGACCCTGTCCCAGCTTGCCAGGGGACTGGGTGGATTGTTTTTCTTCTAAGGTTTTCTGATCTCCTTTCTTCTTTACCTTTAGCAGAGTCATACACAGAACCCACTGCAAGTCGGGACAGAAATCCAATCCAGGTTTTTTGCTGCACAGGGCTGCAGTCAAAGCCCCTTTCAGGTGAGCTCTGTCTGTGCAACAAGTGAGGAAGCGTAATGGAATGCTTTGGAAACATGAATAATTGTGGAGGCTGTAATTCTTTATATAGACTACCAAATCTGTATTTTGCTTTTGAGTGCAAAAAATACCCAAGGCAGCTAACAATAAATAAAAACACAGACCAGTGTTCCCTCTAAGCTGAGTTATTGTGAGCTAGCTCACAGTTTTTTTAGCCTCCAGCTCATACATTTTTGCCTTAGCTCAGGAAGGATGGCTCCAGAGCAAACTAATTGATGAGGTAGCCAAATCACTTGCTCACAACTTTAATGCCAGTAGCTCACAAAGTAGAACGTTTGCTCACAAGATTCCATAACTTAGAGGGAACATTGTCACAGACTACAATTTATCAGTAAAATCAAACAACAAAACACTAGAAATCAAACAGCAATGAAATCTTGAGGCAACAGCCAGGTACTACTCAAAGGCCTTGTGGAACTGATGCATTTCCTATTATGCCGAAAGGCCTATAAGAATGGTGCCAGTCATACATATTGAAGGAGGGAGTTCCATAACTTGTAGGCAACAGCTAAGGGCATCTTCCAATGAGTCTTCCCCAGTTATATTTCAGATAGGGCAGGTTCCCATATCAAGGCTCCAGTAGCCAGCTTCAGATCCTTTTAGGTACTTTGGACCCAAGCCATTTAGGGTTTAAAGGTCAAAATATTTTGAATTGAGCCCAGAAACAAACCAGAAGTCCATGCCTTTGATAAAGTTACTGGTTTACCTATAGTCCTAACAGTTCTTTCAAGACAGCTCGCTTTTTCAGAGGTGGAATGGAGGCAGAGTGTAAATGATTTGGTCCAGATCACGCAATAAAGTTCACAGCAGGGGTTTTGAGTCCAGGTCTAAGTATACTGTTATGCTGTTTTGCACAAAACTCTTGGAGAGCCAGTTTGGTGTAGTGGTTAAGTCTGCGGACTCTAATCTGGGAGAACCGGGTTTGATTCCCCACTCCTCCACTTGCACCTGCTGATGTGACCTTGGGTCAGTCACAAGCTCTGGCACAGCTGTCCTTGAAAAAGAGCAGTTTGTGTCAGAGTTCTCTCAGCCCCACCCACCTCACAGGGTGTCTGTTGTGGGGAGGGGAAGGGAAAGGAGTTTGTAAGCCGCTCTGAGACTCCTAGTGAAGGGCGGGGTATAAATCCAATCGCTTCTATTCTTCTTCTTCTTCTTTTAATTCTCTGTTAACAAGCTTATGGAATCAACCTAGCACACTTTTATAAACTGAATTTGGATTGGGATTTTTCAGAATTCAGAACAGCTTCCTGGTATGCAGAGGTTAATTTATCCTTGTTAAATTAATTTTGATTACCAGCCTCATATTCCTTGGTCTTGAGAAATTTAAAAATAACTTAAAACAATAAAAATGATTATTTTCCATAAAAACTGCTGTGCTGCTTGAACCTATGCACCTTTACTCAGAAGTAAGCCATTATGTTTAACAGGCTTACTTCCAGGGAAGTCTTCTTTGGGTTGCTACACAGGTTCCCACCAGTCATTATGCTTCTGACGCTTTGACTTTGACAAGCTTTGACACTTGGAAACACTTTTGCATATTCTAGCTGTTCAAACTTGGCACACAGAATGTATAACAAAGTGCTTGTGGCTGATTTTTAAAAAAAAGCAAAGTGAGACCTAATGAAGACAGCTTTTTGAAGTAGTATGGGCCAGCTATATATGTGAAATGTTACATAAACAATTGGTTTATATAGTGCTTTACAATCTTCTCTTTCCTAATACCCCTCTGAGGCAGTTGTTCACTTCCATTTTACTGTATTTGTGTAGTGAGACTAAGATTTTATTCTCGGTGCACTTCCACAGAGTAAATCCCATTGAACACAGTGAAATGTATCTCTGCGTAGACATGCCTTAGATCTGGCTGCATGTCTGACTTGTCCAAGGTCACAAGCAAGTGGGTTAACTAGGGACTTGAATTCAAGTTTCCCCAGGTGGTCATAAATAGAGAAATTAGCAGCTCATTTACAAGCAAGGCCATATCTCTCCTTCTTTTGCCTTACTAACTCTTTTCTGGTGTCTACATGTTTATAAGACCTAGTGAAGTTTTATCTCCTCAGGATGCGGCTTCCTTGCTGTGTGTGTATATGGAGAGAGTGGGCAGAGGTAATACAGCATTTGGACTGTCTCCTAGGTAGCTATGTGGCTGGAGCCTAGATACAGCCTTCATTTTACATCTTCAGGGCAGCTAATGAGGATAACCTTTTTGACAAAAAAACCAGATTACCTCTAGTTTGTGCATTATGAAGATGCATCCAGAAAAGCTTAAAATCTTCTTTGTGTTTTAAATAAATATAAAAGACTTATCAAAGTGAAATGGCCCCATTGACTCCTTGAGAAGTTTTGTTGCCCTGAGTTTGCATGTGTGTGAACTTTTTTAAAAGAATATTTTCATAGATGAACAGGTTGAAACGCCTTGCTGGTCTACAGCCCTGTGATTTGTTTCCATTGTTAATGTAAAGAAGATATTTTGGCCAGAGAATAAAAACAAACTGGTGTCTGTCTGGCCTTTGTTTTCATGTTTTTTAATATCAGAAAACTGTTGCTGATAGTCCTTGAATTTTTGCTTCTGGGGGAAAAATTATTGGATATTTAATTGGTTCCTTTAAGCAAAGTTATGGGTGTACGCATGGCTAATTTTAATCAGACAAAGTTTCCCCACATGTGGATGTTTCTGTATTCCAGATTTCTAAATAGCCACTCAGCTGATTTCTTGTAGCAAGTGAGAAATATTGTCTATTGGGGAGATGGTCTTTCTATACACAGCTGTAGATATGCTACAAGTGACTAACAAATGCGTGACCCAAGAGAATGAATTTAGTAAGTTTATTTTGCAGGGCTGTTCTATCTATCTATCTATCTATCTATCTATCTATCTATCTATCTATCTATCTATCTATATCTATCTATATCTATCTATATCTGTCTATCTGTCTATCTGTCTATCTATCTATCTATTTGAAACAGTCCTATCCAGTTAATTTTGAGTAGCTAGATAGGCCTGGAGCAGAGTACTGGATTATAGTAGTTACTGTCATACTAAGAGGAAACAAAAGAATTTTATGTAGGCAGAGGGATGAGTGAACACAATTTGTTAATTTGACCAACAGTTACTGCAATTTATAGAAAAATGAGGCTGGGGAAGCATGAAAAAGCTTTTCATACTGCAGGGATAGTGGTACTGTATTAGGTTCTATAGGAACTAGTGTGGTATGATGGGTAGAATGCTTGACTAGGACCGAGGTGTCCGAGACTCAGATTCATATGGTGTTGTGGTTAGAGAGTTGTCCTAGGATTTGGGAGACCCAGGTTTGAATCCCCACTCTGCCATGACCTTGAGCTAGTCACCCATTCTCAGCCTAACCTACCTCACAGGGTTGTTGTGAGCAGGGGTCATTTCCTGCAGGAGCGGAACTCCAGCAGTAAAGAGCCCAGGGGGTGGGTACATGCAACAAGCCCTACCCCCTGCTCCCAGCAGCCCTCAGTCAGAGCAAGAAACAGCCAGGTAAGCCGCAGAGCCCCCCCCCCC